GTTTTCTTTATTTTAGGTTTTGTGATTGATAGCAGTGTGTTTAGTAAGCAGCCGAAAAGTTTTCTTTGTTTTAGGTTTTGTGATTGATAGCAGTGTGTTTAGTAAGCAGCCGAAAAGTTTTCTTTGTTTTAGGTTTTGTGATTGATAGCAGTGTGTTTAGTAAGCAGCTGAAACGTTTTCTTTGTTTTAGGTTTTGTGATTGATAGCAGTGTGTTTAGTAAGCAGCTGAAACGTTTTCTTTGTTTTAGGTTTTGTGATTGATAGCAGTGTGTTTAGTAAGCAGCTGAAACGTTTTCTTTGTTTTGGGTTTTATGATTGATACTAATACAACCACGTTTCTCCAAACCATTCAACCATATTCTAATATTATTCCCATTGCTATTCCGAGCATCAAGTTATGACATACTTCTTTATACAAGGATAAATTGATCGAGCTGGAAAATTTGTTGACGTTCAGGTTTTCCTTGTATCCCAGATATGGTGTAAACATTACTCACTGCAATGAAAATGTATTTGTATACTCTAGAGACTTTGAGAATCAACCAAAGTATTGAATGAGTTAAAGCAGAAAAATGAAATGGTTTGAAACATTTGATTGTTTTCAATTACAAAACTTAACTTTCGAACCTTATAAATTTAAAATAGTTTAATATTTGAGCAGATGGAAACGATATAATTTTTATGTAGTGTCAAACAGGGATAGTTATAATATACTACCCATCAGGCATACTTTCTAAGTTGTGTCAAACAGGGATAGTTATAATATACTACCCATCAGGCATACTTTATATGTAGTGTCAAACAGGGATAGTTATAATATACTACCCATCAGGCATATTTTCTATGTAGTGTCAAACAAGGATTGTTATAATCTACTACCCATCAGGCATACTTTATATGTAGTGTCAAACAGGGATTATTATAATATACTACCCGTCAGGCATACTTTTTATGCAGTGTCAAACAGGGATAGTTATAATCTACTACCCATCAGGCATACTTTATATGTAGTGTCAAACAGGGATTATTATAATATACTACCCGTAAGGCATACTTTTTATGCAGTGTCAAACAGGGATTGTTATAATACCATCCTGTACATGTTGTTATCCAATTTTTTTTAAACGTTAACTAGTAGAATTTTACAAATATATGCTATTTTTCACTCTCGAGTTAACTGTCCTTGTTTAGTTCCTTGCTATTTTTCACTCTCGAGTTAACTCTCTTTGTTTAGTTCCTTGCTATTTTTTCACTCTCGAGTTAACTGTTCTTGTTTAGTTTCTTGCTATTTTTTACTATCAGCTTAACTATCCTTGTTTAACTTGTTACTTTTTTACAACCAGATTACCATAAATATTTAATAACGATAAGTATGTTATAATTGAAGTAATGCCAAGTAGGTTTATTGTTTCAGGAATAACGATAAGTCTGTTATAAATGAAGTAATGCCAAGTAGGTTTATTGTTTCAGGAATAACGATAAATCTGTTATAATTGAAGTAATGTCAAGTAGGTTTATTGTTTCAGGAATAACGATAAGTCTGTTATAATGAAAGTAATGCCGAGTAGGTTTATTGTTTCAGGAATAACGATAAGTCTGTTACAATTGAAGTAATGCCAAGTACGTTTATTGTTTCAGGAACAACGATAAGTTTGTTATAAGTGAAGTAACACTAAATAATTCTACGGTTTCAGTAATACTGATAGGTTTGTTATAAGTGAAGTAACACTAAATAGTTATACGGTTTCAGGAACAACGATAAGTTTGTTATAAGTGAAGTAACACTAAATAGTTCTACGGTTTCAGTAATACTGATAGGTTTGTTATAAGTATAGTAACACTAAATAGTTCTACGGTTTCTGGTTATATAGTGTGAACTCTTTCTAATGTATTTTCTTGATCTCAACAGACAAGCCTAAGTTCTTTACGCTGCCATTGGAAACTGTAGACGTAGTGGAAGGAGACTCAGTAGTCATCAATTTAACAGTCAAAGCTAATCCCGAGGCAGTGGTGTACACATGGGATAAAGATGGACTCCCTCTGCCAGAAGAATCTGCTGGAAGAATCTCAGCCTCGGGATCTGTCCTCAATGTCACCGAGGCTAGTAGAGCCGATAGGGGGCGGTACAGATGTGAAGCCAAGAATGATTTCGGGGCGACAGAGACAGTAGTTATTCTGAACGTACTGTGTAGGTTCATTACATTAACTTCGGATTAGTTTCTTATATGATAACTTATACGTTAGGCGTTCATTGTTTAACTGTACAACATGAGGACAATATATATCTATATATAGATAGAATTCACTGTTTTACACTTAGGATAGATATGTATGACTAAATGGTTGACACCGGGGGTATATATTATATATGATTAAATGGTTGACACCAGGGGTATATATTATATATGATTACGTGGTTGACACCGGGGGTATATATTATATATGATTAAATGGTTGACACCAGGGGTATACATTATATATGATTAAATTGTTGACACCGGGGGTATATATATATTATATATGATTAAATGGTTGACACCAGGGGTATATATTATATATGATTAAATGGTTGACACCGGGGGTATATATTATATATGATTAGATGGTTGACACCGGGGGTATATATTATATATGATTAAATGGTTGACACCAGGGGTATATATTATATATGATTTCCTGTGTAACACTGAGGGTGTTTATATGTGGTGTCTGTGCGACACTGGGATGGTTATATATGATTCCCTGTGTAACACTGAGGGTGTTTATATATGTTTATCTGTGTGACATAAAGGTGGTTATATATGGTTATCCGTGTAACACTGGGGTGTTTATTTGTGTAACAGTGAGGGAGTTTATATATGGTGGTTATATGTAATGAGTTAAATATGAGTGTTCATTAATTCTTTTGTCCTATAGAATAGAACAAGAAGTTTATGAAATTACATTAATACATATGATTTAACATAGAAAATAACTATCATCTAATTTTATTTTTAAACACGTTTTCTGCTTTAGACACTGCCACTATTGTGAAGGTCACAGAACTAGCGTTGGTCGAACCGGCGAGCAACGCCTATCTTCAATGTATTGTGGACGCTAATCCCATCACCTCAGATATCATCACTTGGCGAAGTGAAGCATTTGACATGAATCGGACATACCATTCATTGGACAACGACCGGTCGTTTCTGACCGTCTACAACGTCAGTAAAGAGGACTCTGGGATCTTTGAGTGTGTTGCTAACAACTCCATTGGGGACGAGGCTATAGGAGTGGCCAACCTTGTGGTTAAACGTAAGTTTGTTGGGTAATAGCCAAACACGCTCATGTTCGATGCTGAAAAAGAGCGAATATCCAAAATGCTGACCATGTTACGATTGTTCTATACTCACACTTCGATTATTCCTTCGTACGTCCATCAACTTTATTTAGTTTGTACTTATTCAGGATCTAACAGATATAACAGATTGTTCTTTATTAGTGGTAATCAATAACACATACAGAAATTGGTTTTATTTCCTACTAGCAGCATATCACTTTCTTCCTTCGCTTCTTTCGGTTTATTCGTTCTCTTTCACATCTTCCGTTCCTTTTCTTTTCGTTGAACTCCTGTCTTTTATATTCCTTTCTCAAATCCACATCGAACGGGCCTCTTTCTTCCAATATTTTTCTAATGACTTAGAGTACTGCAATCCCCTAATTCGAGAGTGACCAAAGGCTAGGTGCTTTTTCACCTCTCTTAATTTCAACCAATTTTCCTTACATCTAACTTCATAACAGGCCATTAAGTATATTTTAATACTTCGATACCTAGTATAATTATTGGTGTTTTCAAATGTTTTCTTCCATAAAGTTGAATATTATTTTTGTTATCACCTTTAAGATAACCCAATCTAAAAACTGAACGTCATTACGTAATATAGTTAAAAACGAGTTAAATCTTATATTTATTTGATCATCGGCCTTGCCTAAAACATTCACTTCTCATTTCTTTGGCTTAGTTCTGCCCCAACTGGTTAAAATATGTAACTTATCCTGATCTAGGCTGATTCGAATATAATTTACATGTGTATGATTTTTTTCTGATAAAGAAAGTGTCTTACCAAATGAAATACGTGTTTAAAAGCAAATTTTGGAATATTACTTAATTCTTTCATCATTTGTAATACAGATAAGCCTACCATCCACCGATCTCAACATCTTTTAAAAGCAGCTAGTGAAAAAGGACAAACGGCAAAGTTGGTGTGTCGCGCAGAGGGCGCTCCGAATGTGACCTTCACTTGGTCACGAGGTGGATCTACCATCATCGAAACGGAGGAGCACGAAATGGATACGTACATGTTGGGTCTGACGAGCTGGGAAAGTGTCTTATTGCTGCATCACGTTGAAAACAGCGATTATGGATTGTACGAATGTGTGGCTAGGAACGAGCTGGGGTTTGACACTGTCAAAATTAAGTTAGATTTAACAAGTAAGAATGTGTTAAAAATATCTAAGTAATAATTGTTGTTTTACCTTCAAATTGCCGCTGAGGTGAACTCGGGGGAAAACTTGAGGGGGCTACATTCTACAACTTGTGAGCACACTTACTGTTGTATGAGGAAGAGAACCAGTTTTAACAATGAGAATTGGTCTTTTTGTGTGGGGGCTGCAGGGGAGACTAAGGCACATATTGGAGGTGGCTTCAGCTTCAGCAAGCCCCCCCCCTTTACCCCAGTCTCCGCTTGTTTTCTATTTAAAGATGCAGAGTAAAGTCAGCGATAGTTAGTGGGATTAATAGAAATATTAAAATCTTTTCTCATATACTATGAGAGACCCTGTAATGATATAAGTCATAGTGCATAAATAGTTAAGAAACATTAGTTTTAAAAACCAAGTCAGTTGGTAATTCTAGAGTTAAACTGTGCCATGCTATTACCTGGCATACGTTTGTCTTATGAAACTTGTATATATATATAATTCTCGTAATTCTAGAGTTAAACTGTGCCATGCTATTACCTGGCATACGTTTGTCTTATGAAACTTGTATATATATATATATAATTCTCGTAATTCTAGAGTTAAACTGTACCATGCTATTACCTGGCATACGTTTGTCTTATGAAACTTGTATATATATATATATAATTCTCGTAATTCTAG